CTTCTGTGCTACGTCCTGGATGGGAGGGAGGGAACTGCCCATGATCTTTTCTGCCGTCCTCACCACTCTCTGCACCGCCTTCCTGTCTGAAGCAAGGATGCTTCCAAACCAGACCGTGATGCCGTATGACAGGATGCTCTCCATCCTCCCCCTGTAGAAAGTGGTCAGGGCAGGGGGAGGAAGATGTGCTTTTCTCGTGTGTCGCAGAAAATGCCGGCGCTGCTGTGCCCGCTTCGCCAGTGTCTCGCTGTTGAGCGACCAAGCCAGCCTACTCGTTAGCTGCTTTGTTTCTTAATCTCCATCTCTAATCAATTCCCGTTCCATTAAATGTAGTAAATTCAGTCTCCAAACATTCTCCCAACTGCCGGGAGGGATCGAGGGAGCAGATGTGATGTTAACTGTCGTGTTTTGCTCACTGCTAGGCCCTACGACACCAGCAGGGACGGCTACAAGGACTGGACTTTCATGTCGACACACTACTGGGATGAGGACCCCCGGGGGGTCTGGACCCTCCTGCTGGAAAACAAGGGCGATGTGTATAACAGAGGTAGGTCACGCAGCCGATCCCAGTTTGGGTAAAAGTCTGCTTGCTTGCTTGCTTAGTGACTTATTGAAAAAGCTAACACAATCCTGGGTTGCGTAAAGAGAGGCATAGAATTAAAATCACGTGAAGTCTTAGTCCCGCTTTATACAACCCTAGGCCAGAGGTAGGCAACCTTGGCTCTTTTATGACTGGTGGACTTCAATTCCCAGAATTCCTGAGCCAGCCACGCTGAGGGGAAAGGGAGAGGTTTCCAAGCTGAGCCAGGCTGGCTGAGGAATTCTGGGAGTTGAAGTCCACGAGTCATGAGGGGGCCAAAGTTTCCCCCATGCTGGCTCAGGAATTCTGGGAGTTGAAGTCCACGAGTCATAAAAGAGCCAAGGTTGCCTACCCCTGCCCTAGTCAGACCATACCTGGAATATCTGCATCCAGTTTTGGTCACCGTATCACAAAAAAGATGTGGAGAGTTTGGAAAAAGTACAGAGAAGAGCGACTAAGATGATCCAAGGTCTGCAGGTTAAAACAAACGAAGAACAGGATTTGGGAATGGCCAATCTAGAGAAAAGAAGGATGGAGGGGGGTACATGATAGCAGCATTCCAGTATTTGAGGGGCTGCCACAAAGAAGAGGAGGGGGGGGAGTCAATGTATTCTCCAAAGCACCAGAGGGCAGGACAAGAAACAATGGTTGGAAACTGATCAAAGAGAGAAAGAACCTGGAATTAAGGAGAAATTTCCTGACAGGGAGGACAATTAACCAGTGGAACAGCTTGCCACCAGAAATTGTGGGCACTCCATCACTGGAGGTTTTTAAGAAGAGACTGGACAGTCACCTGTCTGAGATGGTATAGGTTCTCTGCTCTAGCAGGGGGCTGGACTAGAAAACCTCCAAGGTCCCTTCCAACTTTATCATTATTATTATTATTATTACTATTTTATCTGAAAAAAAGATCAGTTCCAGGGCTGGCCTAGGCCCTCAGCCGGTCGCGACGTGACCTACAATTTGATGTGAGACTCTGCAGTCCCACTGAGGGGTGCAGGGGGGGTGTACCCCACTTATACAATGAATTCCCGCAGATGCCACGCAGGGTGGCAGTTAAAGAACCTTGTCAGAAGGAAAAGGAAGGAAGATAAAAGTTGGTTGGTTTGATCCTGATTAAGATAGGACACGTTTTTAGATGAAGCTCTGATAACTTTAGAGAGAGAAAAAGAGAGTCACAGAGACAGAAGGAGAGAAAGAGGGAGAGAGAGACAGAGACAGAGAGAGACAAAGAGAAAAAGAGAAAGGGATAGAGAGAGACAAAAAGAAATAGAAAAAGGGAGGGAGAGATAGGAAGAGAGAAAGAAAAAGAAAGAAAAAGAGTAAGAGAGAGAAAGAAAAGAGACAGACAGAAAGAGAGGGGGCAGAAAGGAACAAAAAGAGACAGACAGAGAGAGAGAAATACAGAAAGAGAGAGACAAAAAGAGAAATAGAAAAAGAGAGATGGAGTAAGAGAAAAAGAAAGGGAGACAGAAAGAAAAAGAGAGAGAAAGAAAGACAGACAAAAAGAAATAGAAAAAGAAAGAGACGGAGGGAGGGAGGAAGAGAGAGAAAGAAAAAGACAAAGAAAGAAAGAGACAGAGGGGGGGCAGAAAGAGAGGAAGAGAGAGAGAGAAAAAGAGAGAAAGAGAAAAAGTCACAGAGACAGAAGGAGAGAAAGAGGGAGAGAGAGAGAGAGACAGAGAGAGACAAAGAGAAAAAGAGAAAGGGATAGAGAGAGACAAAAAGAGAAATAGAAAAAGAGGGAGGGA